GATTGGTTGATTAGATAATTGCATTAATGAGAAATTGAACAGGTGTTCCTAATAATCCTTTAGGTGAGTGTATATATAGGATATGTAAATTCTTTTGCCCATATACTTTTATAAAATTTATATATATACACACACACACACCTTATGTTAGTAGTTGTAAATTCTAAGCTTGGAAATTTGCTTTGCTATTTGATCCTATCAAGCAGTCTCTTCATGCGTGAGAGAAAGTTTTTAATTTGTCTGATATACGTCAATAAAAGAATGAAATTTAATCTGATTAAAGGGATACACTGACACACAGACATACAAACACAGACCCTCAGGAAACACAACCTGAAGGAGATAATCTTGCCTCATAAGGAGATCCTCTGCCATTTACTTTAAATTTTCTTATTTAATTTATCCTTGTAAAGGGTTATGAGTTGTTTGCTATAATAATATTTAATCTTTCTTGTGAAGTGCAATGTGTACACTCTTGAACATTTCTTTCTGACTTTCTCTCTTCAATAGCCAAAAGCACTGAAGCTCTTAGGAATGGAGGTAGGTGATGGTTAAGCTAACCTAACCTAGCTTTCTCCCACAATCCTCAGAATAGCAGCATGTGAGATGGCAAATATCACTTTATGCTACGCTTGGAGATTTGGAAGAAAAGCTAAGCAGTATCATGCATTAAAATGTTAATATGCGCTGGGCACACGTAAGGGACAATAATATATTATTACATGTTGGCATGACAGTGGCAGGCGGTAATTAGGATGCTGGTTGTGCAGAAAAGGTCCATACCGTGGTCTCCCTTCAGTGAAATGTCCAGTTAAAATTACCTCACATAGTTGCCTGCAGTTTAAATTGAATGCTTCTACCAGTAATGGGCTAAATGAAGATTCTATCTCTGTGTTCCTACCATCTGGGAAATGCTTTTTCAAAGCTTTAATAATTCTGTATATATCTCTTTCGCTAATCTCATACCTGTACATATGAACGTGTACAAATGGTACATGTAGGGATTTTATTTTTCTCTCTCTTTTTAATTGTGGAAATCGTGCTGCGAAACCAGACCTATGTCAGTTTCCATTTGCTTTGTAATTTGTATGGGAAGCCATCGTAGGGGGGGGGGGGGAATTCATCCGTGCTGCAACTCATCATTATATCGTGAGGCTCAGTACCCACTGCCGCCAAATGCATCCACGGCTGATCTCTTTAAATCGACGTGTTCAGCTTATTAAAGCTACATACTGTCATTGTGATGCTTGCATCAATGGAAAAAGATTCTCCTTCAGGGTTTCAGATTCATCATGTTTTAGTCTTTAAGTGACTGTTTTCTAAAAACCAGCAGCAGGTTAATTGCAGATCCAGCTTCTTTGTTGCATTGAGTTGACAGTAAGCTGTTCTCGGGTCATTTTAAAATTGAGAGACATTTTGATCCTCATGCTAGGTGTGTAAGCACGGGGAGGTGGTTATATCATTTATGAGAAGTAATTAAGTGCTACTTTGTGTACAGTCATCTTTGAACGAAAATAAAAAACATGCCGTGGATTTTCTCTGTACATTGTTATTGTAATGATAATGCTATCCTGATATTTGTAAAAGATAATTATGAAATGGATTTCTTCTTCTATAAACACAGAAACCAAGACATTAAAAATCACAAAAAAATAAAAATCTAATCTGCTCCTGCTGGCTACAGGATGACATGCCAATCAGGAGAGGCAGACAGAAGACAACGAGGAAGAGAGAAGAGGAAGTGGATATTGATCTGGATGACCCAGAGATTAATCACTTCCCCTTCCCATTCCATGAGCTGATGGTGTGGGCAGTTCTGCTGAAGCGCCAGAAGATGGCGCTCTTTTTTTGGCAGCATGGAGAGGAAGCCATGGCCAAAGCCCTTGTTGCCTGTAAACTCTGCAAGGCTATGGCGCATGAGGCGTCCGAGAATGACATGGTTGACGACATTTCGCAGGAACTCAACCGCAACTCCAGGTGGCGTCCCTCCTTCAAATGACTACACATACATGATGCAGAGTAAAACTGTTTATCCCCACTGTGAAAGGTCATCCAAACCAGCTAATTAAAATCACTGGTAATGCTACAGGGCTTGGTTTTTAGAGGTACATGGTCTGTTTGCTACTGATTGATAGCATGAAGATTCTTACGGAGCAGCATGACCGGAGCCTTCTAAGCTGCAGCCATTTTTAACAGGGTCCAGAATTCTTCTCTTTCAATTTACAGGTTCCTTGTTGTATTAGTGCTATAAATATTCATTTCTTATTCCTCTGACCCCTTGCAAACGTACCCAGAATCGTATCCCCTATATCCAAGAGTCCCCACCCTCACTACAGTTCCCATCTCGGAGTTTTGCTTCTTGCTTATAATTTGCTTTTGTGTACCCTGCAGTTTTTTCGACTGACCTCGTCACTGTCCAAACCCTTTAATGAGAGAAGAACATCTCTTCTCGGTTTCTCAATTTTGTTCTTGCCCTGCTGTGATTTCAGTGATGAATGTCTGGTTAGGATTGCTTTTCACGCAAAATAAAACTCTATATACACATTTACACATCATGTTTTAGGCTTGAATTACTTGAGAGTAATAGCCATTTCCATTCCAGTCTGCTCAATTTAATATTTATACATCTATACTGATAATACAAGGCTATCACTTGCGCAACTGTATTCATATTTAATAGTCAATTTTTATTCCTAGAGAATCCTGCCATTACTGTGTATAACTTTCACATTTTGTGTGTTGACATTATTTGCCTACATACCTTTGTTGTTTAACAGGAGTTATTTTCGTGCCTGCGTGTGTCTGCTTGTGGTTCCCCAGGGAGTTCGGTCAGCTGGCCGTGGAGCTTCTTGACCAGTCCTATAAACAGGATGAGCAGATGGCTATGAAGCTGCTCACCTATGAGCTGAAGAACTGGAGCAATGCCACCTGCCTGCAGCTGGCTGTTGCAGCCAAGCACCGAGACTTCATCGCACACACCTGCAGCCAGATGCTCCTGACAGATATGTGGATGGGCCGACTGCGTATGCGCAAGAACTCCGGTCTAAAGGTGAGCAGAGCCAGTGCTGCTTCCTCCCAGGAAGCAGGACCTTTACTGTTCCTCCCAGGGAGTTTCATCCTAGAAGTAGGACATGTGCTATTTCCTTCTAGGAAGTAGGACCTGTGCTGTTTCCTTCTAGGAAGTAGGACCTGTGCTGTTTCCTTCTAGGAAGTAGGACCTGTACTGTTTCCTCCCAGGAAG